CAAAAAATAAACGTTTAAAAACAAAACAAAAAGATAATTATTTATTTTTATGAAATAATAAGAAACAATTTTTTTTTACTGTGAAACAGAGTCTCTGTTCACATTTTGAACACAACACCATAGTTTTTCCGCTCTTACACAAACGACATCGCCCCTGAGACGTGTAAACGGGAAAATGATCAAAACAATCGAGGCGTGATTCATCCACAGGACGAGGTATAAAAGGCTTGGTAATTGTATCAGGCCCAGGATCAAGTGCTCCTCTTGGGAATTGAGATTTGGTGTTGGTTGTCATGAGTGCAAGAGCAGCCTGTATGCGAAACTTTTTTAGTGATAATTTATTTTCGTGTCCATTTTGCATACAATCACGACGATGTAACAGCCAGCTATTGTTGAGTGCAATATCCAAAAGCTGGGCAAAAATTGATAAATACCAGCGCCTCGTCTTCATGCGTATCCTGTACAAAGCAGTCAACATATCTGCAATGTCTACTCCACCCATATGTGCATTATACACTTTGACTACATGTGGACAGGACACAGAAACTCGCCTTTTTTCTTTTTTGTCGTATCTGTCGATCGTAGTGACAGGATCTTGGGCACAAAAGGAGCTGGCAATGTGTATACATTGGTTGTCTACCCACTTTGTAACTGCCAATCTTTTGCCGTTATCGCACACAACTTCATATGTTCCTCGACCTTTCTTCTTCATGTCTTTATCACTACTTAGGTGGCAATTGCGCAGTCTATCCTTTCTTATTGTTCCCAAGGATAGAATACCAAACTCGTTTCGCAAGTAATGAAGCAATTCTAAAGAAGTGAACCAGTTATCAAAGTAAACTGTGGAAAGAACTTTATTAGATATAGTTTTACATAATCTAACAACCGTTTTGCCGCCAACGCCGAGATAATTTTCTTCCCATTCTGTAAATGGTACTCGCTGAAAGGTATTTGCACCATCATAGGGGAAAAAATCATATACCATCCCTGAGGTGCCCGCCCGAACTAAAAATTTAAAACCCCATTTGTGGGGTTTTTTTGGGATTGTATTGTTTCCGATTGCCGGCTTTCTTCCCTTTATATGGTATTATCATTTCGTCAATAGCAAATGATCTTTCTTCTTCCAATTTGAGACACTGCTGATGGACATGTTCCATCACAGCAGAAACTTTGTGATAGCCGTCATTCTTATCTACATTTGTGTTATCACAAAAGTGTAGAAAGCGTTTGATGGTTCTGTAACGTTTGATACCCATAGCAGATGCTATGGGTTCAAAACGAAGGTCGTTACTCCAATAATCTTCGATAGCTGGCATCTTAACAATTCCCATTATAATGACAATACCCAGTACTATTTCTATTTCTTTTTTGGTAACATTAATAGATTTACCTTGATCTTGAACAGAATAAAGGTTAGTCATATCTACTATGTAATCTAATAGTTCGTCGCTAAAAAACTTTTTAAAATATTGTTGCGGTGTCTTAACTTCAAATTGTTCTGCAAAAGTAACCCTTGTATCCACTTCCACGGTTCCTGTATATTTGGTTTTCTTAAATGTAAATCCTAATTGTTTTAGCTTACGCTTTTTTACAGCAGGTTCTGTTGATGGAAGAAGCATTGATGATGATGACTCAATATTAGCGATTTGTCTAGTACGACGACGTGTTGTTGCTGAACTTGGTGTCAGTGGAGATGTTACGGAATTTGTAGATGGTGTAGGTGGTACAAAGCATGGAGGTAGATTTTGAGGTCTAGCTACAAACGAAGATGAGGATGATGTGGATGGTAGGGATTCATTTTGATTTACGAGCGGATTGTCTTTTCCTGACTGAGTTCCTGATTCTGGCTCTGGTTCATCTAAGTCACTAAGATCTTGAAGTAGGTCATACATTTCAGACGAAATACTTCTCACGGAAGAAGAACAACTGAAGTCATTTCTGAAGTACTCACGTGCTACTATTCTTCTTTCATCATCATCTTCAGATTCTAATTCCGAACCTTCTGAATCTGGAGGAGGTAACAGAGCCAGAATCTTCTTAGATCTCCAAGCTTTCGGCATGTTACTGAAACGAATACCGTTAATATTATTTTTTTACTGTAAAAAATGTGACGTAAATAAACAAGATACTAGTTGGCAATGTCCGTTACAAATGACAAACATAAAAGCTACTCCTTGTGATACCTATTTGGCAATGTCCGTTAGAAATGACATCTGGATTTATTAAAATTTTTAAGAAAATAAACCAATTTTATCGTGGTAAAAACAATTGAATTCAATCAATAAATGATTATTTTAACAAAGTTACACATAACATTTGTAAAAATCAATCAAATACTTACATTATAACAATATTTTTGACGAGCGCAAACTGAGTCTACCGTTGCAATATTTGAAATGACTGACACAACACTCCTTACGAGCGAGAGAGCTGATTTAAACGCGTAAGTGTGAAAAGGATAGCCTAAAAGACGCTTCATGCCGCGCGAGAGCTGCAACCGTCGCTTCAAATTACACTTGTGTGCGTTTTTATTGTATGACACATAGAACGGACAAAAACAATTTAAGGGTTAAATTATATAATAGAATAGTAACAATATATCTTCTGCTGGTTATACAACAAAATTATATAATATAAGATACAACAAATAGTAGTCTTAGGTAATACTGAGAACATTTTAATTACTTAGGAAATAAAAATGAGTACTAAGTCATCCAAGAGATTTACTTAGATGATTGAACAATTTGAAATATTTCTTCAATAGATTCATCATCGTCACTGTCATCCAATTTAAAACAGTCTGCACACATAAACAACTCCGAATCTTCATGATCTGGAATGTTTTCTTTGTAGTTCTTAGGGCAACATCTTTGATGGTAATAAAACTTTGCATGAGCAGCATTGTAGGACCTTTTCTTTAAGATCTATTTTATGACAAGACTGACAAGTGACATGTATTTTTTCACAAAGAATCGAAATTTTTTTCGTTTCGTTTCATTTTATAAGTTGGTTGACTACCGCGTACGAAGTCATGGACACATGCTAGTGTAGTGTTATATATAAATAACGAGCTTTATATAGTATAATAAAATAAATTACCTTGGGCAACAGTAGTGTCTGCACTTTCAGATGTTTTCTTTGGCAAATAAGTTTCAGAATTTGTTGATGTAGATGCTGAAATCAAATTTTTTATGTCAAAATATATATATGTCGCAGAATCAACAAAGATGCACAACTATCGAGTATCGTTATTTTAGAACAACGCCATCTGTTATCATTTGTCGGAAACGTCAAGCAGTGTGCTTGGGTGATGGTCGGTACGGGGCGTGGCATGTTGACATTTGACAGGCGTCACTTTTGGGTTGGACACGAGGGTGAGCGGTTGTTCTGCCAGCCCGTACCGAACTTACCGCGTTTACGAAGAATCTGATGACGAAGTACCCCCAATTTGTGTATTTTCTCCGACATATATATATTTTAAGTATCGCTATTTATATCATGTATTTCCTATTTTTATACATAAGATATAAATATAGAAGGTATTTACCAATATTCAATGTTGGAACAGCATTCTTGGTAAGACGTCCACTGGCCGTTCGGTAACACTCTTCAAAATGGTAATCGCATATACGAATGTTGTTGTATATGTAATTATCGCCCCTTTCTCGATCTGTCTCGCTTAACACCATTTTCCACTGATCAAATTTTTCCGTATGCGGGTATACATTTGGTGGAAAGTGGTGAACTGTTCCTGAAAGACAATATCATCATGTAAAACAGTGTGAAGTACCTACATGTAAAAAAATAAAAGAAAATAAATATTGTTCTAAGAGGATTTAGTAGGATGTACTTAAATAATTATGTGAAACATACCTGTATATGGAATACATCCAAAATAACATTTAAAGGCACTTTCTCGGCATTTTGAAAATTTCGTCGAATCCAAATCAAAGGGCAATATCGAGGTCCAGTATACAAGGCGTAGGGTCAATCGTTTACGTATCTAAGAAAGAAGCAGGGTCAAAAATCAAAGAGCACAAACAGATCACAAGAACACCTCGAAACAACGAACAAGACAGAAAAATGTTTTCAAAAGGCAACGTACTTTCCCTTTCCTGTCATTCATCATTTACGTTTCATTTCACGTATGAACCATGGTATGAACCACTTTTTCAAAATTGTTAATTATTTTGCTACTATATTTTTGAAATTTTATCTAACTTAATCCATAATAAAGTGTTAAAAATAAATAATAACTATTCAATGTTATTAATTTTATGTTTATCGTTGTAATGTTGCCAACTAGCTCTACCTAGTGGCAAAATGTAAAAGTGTGGCCAAAGTTTATGTACCTAAATCTTTAGATGGCAGCACAATCAATGAATATTTTGATACTAAGCCAATTTATGGAAGTTTCACCCGCCTGGTGTGAATGCTTTCATTTGAAACCGTGCTCCTATTGGTCGCCGGCGACCGGCAGTTGCCTGTGCGTCGCCACTGCGCGGCGAGTCGCCGAGTCGCCCGGGCAACCGGTGACTATTGCGTAAACACCTATTTAAACTACAATATTACAGTCGACAATTGAGTCGCCGGCGACTAGTCGACAGTGTGTAATAGCCCTTAACAGCTTGCTAATGTAGGTTGCTTAAGTTGCATTTCTTGCTTTCTTTTATTTACGGCTTCATTGAAGAATTGGATTTTTGGAGAATGTGCAGAATTTTTTCTATTCTCTTGTATTTGAGAATCATCATTAGATGTATTCTTCGTATTTGGAGTACTTGATCTTGGTAAAGTAACCTGACAATAGTCAACAGAACAAAAATAATTTCATAACCTATTTAAAAAATTGACTAACTATTATTGCAATTTTATTGCAATAATTAGTTTGGATCTTTTGATACTTACATCAACACTGGTGTCATCATCATCAAAGTTTGCCGACGCAACATCTATAGTCTCATTGCTAGACTTTTCGGTTTTCGATGAATTTTGTATGTTTACCACTTGCACATAAGCATTTGTGCTTCGTTTTTTAAATGTGTTGCCAAATTTGTAGTGTTTCTACAAGTTTTATACGTTTTACCGCACAAGTTGCAAGAAACAGGTCCGTTTTTTGGTAAAGAACTTCCACACAGCAGACATAACGTTTTATAATAAATAACAAAGAGCTACGCTTGGCTTACTCGCCAGTCGCCCGCCACAGCACAAAAACAACAAACAACGTACGTATCTACCAAGTACCTTTGGACTATTTCTTGTAGGGCCACGTTAAGGCTCATGTCTACAGGGATAAACCAGCAACGATTGACGCACTGGGAGATATTGAAGCATTTATTCGTGATATACCGGCTGATATGTTGGAGAGAGTGTGCCGAAATTGGGCCTTGCGAATGGGCCATTTAAACCGAAGCCACGGCGGAGATTCATATTTCGGTAGAGACTCAATAACTTGTTTTATAAAATCAATGTCTTCCTCAGCAGTTTTGTTCCAACCACCAGTCTGTCCTCTTCCAACTTATTTATTATCCCCTCCTAAATTTTTTTAGGCATTTGTCTACTTTTTTGGCGTAATTTGAAAATAATTTACGAACATTTCATGGCATACTTGAGTGCCTCCTATTGTGCCCACTTTTACCAAATACATCGAATGGCGTTTCTTCTTCTTCAGCGTTTACTTTGTCGTGCATCGTCTTTAAATCATTAATGGCTTTTACAATTTCTCTAGACCTCTTTTTTGGCCGTGAAGGAGTAGCAGAAGTGCCAGTCGATGAATTATTTGTAGCATTGCATCAGTCACTGTAGATTGTGAAGAATTTTGAATGACAGTAGATGAATTTATTGTAGCATTGGCATCAGTCACTGTAGATTGTGAACAATTTTGAAGTTGAGACTCCGATTGAATCTGTAATTAACAAAATTAAATTGTTTCAGATACCAGATCATAATGAATGGCAAGATATTGAAGATGGTTTCAGAACTAGGTGGAATTTTCCTGGATGTTGTGGCGCAATCGATGGGAAACATGTTTTGATTGATGCACCTCCAAATAGGGTATTTTACTGTATTCGAGAAAAAATCTAAAACTATATTATTGAAATAGCTTAGGCAAAAGGCAATCGGTAAGTGTAGTTTTAGTTCATAAAATAACAAAAGGAATTTTTAAATTCAATTCATACTTTTCAGGTTTTTTTATCTGTTCTATATTACCATGAAATAGCAGCCATCTTGTTATTACGTCATTCGCCTATGTAAACAAAAGTGACAGCTTGACTTGTGTTTTCTTGAATGAAATCTGGAGGGTACGCAATCAGGTTTCAATCGAATCCTTTTTACTGAACCCATTAATTTATACTTCAGGTAATTTTCCATGTCGTGTTCCAACTGAAATATAAGTCGTAAGTGAAATATTAGCATAAGTTTTATTTTTATAACCTCTAAAATATGATATTTACACCACAATAAATTCATTGCAATGGAAGTTATTGCAAATGAAAGATACTTTAGATGAATAATGTATATAGATACTTACATCAAAGTGATCTTCACAATAGTATATACGGGATTTATTGTGTAATTGACTGAGATCTCTTCCGGCAACTTCGAACCAAGTTTTTCTCATATTTATGTCGGTTGGCACTTAGATCCACAATTTGTTCGGTGTTTTAACACTAGTATTCCTGCATTCCGGAACACCACACCAACGATAAGTCGAATAATAGCTCATATTTGAGAGAAAAAACAATTTAACGAAGAATAACAACAACAGCTCAATGATTACATAGCAAACTGAGATCACGACCATAGAGAAAATATGGCGGCCTTTACTTTCGTCAAAGCGTGGGAAATTTGAAAATGTAAATTTTAAATGCATTTTTAGGGTAGTTAGCGATTGAATAAAAATTTTGTATTTTTTTTTAGTACTTCACTAACACCATAGAATCAATTTGAGAGACTTTTTAAAAATGAGTAAAATACCCTATTCTGGAAGCGATTTTTTTAATTACAAGGGCTCTAATAGTATTACTGGCTGTAGTTGACCATGATTATTGTTTTCGCTATTTAAATATAGGAGCAAACGGCAGAAACCCAGATGCAGGAATTTTCAGACAAAGTTCACTACGCCATAGTCTCGAAAATAATTTATTACCAAAGGGAGGTTTTTAGTGGGTGATGATGCTTTCGCATTAAAAACGCATTTACTTTTAAACTGTCAAACACCAAGCGGTCACCGGTGACCGCAACCTATTGTTCTATAGGTAATTGTGTCTATAATGACGGTACTCGACGAGTTAAACCGTACAGTGGCACCAATCTTACAAATTATAATCTTCAAAAAACTTTTAACTACCGATTATCCAGAGCGCGCAGAATAGTTGAAAACGGTTTTGGCATTCTGGCAAGCAGATTTCAAATTTTTCAAAGGCATATGTCGAGACAACTGATAAAATCATACGAGCCTCATGCGCTCTTCATAATTGGCTACGAAAGGCAAGTTCAAGTACATACTTTCGTCGAGGTTGTGTTGATGAAGA